GGGGCGGAGCGCACTCCTCGGGTGACGTAGACGCCAGCACGAGGCGGGCCGAGGAGGCAGCGCAGCGCTGATTGGCTGAGTGCTGAACACGCCTCCCGCCCCCAGCCGCCCGTGTGGACCAATCCAGGCCTGCTCCTCGCCACCGCGTACCTGTCACGAGGCCCACCTTCGGTCCCGCCCTCGTACCTGGCCCAGTGCGAGGCCCGCCTCCCTAACGGCGCCTCGCGGGGAGCGCAGCCTCGGTGTCTGAAACCTCGCCGCGGGCGTTGGCAAAGCGCCGTGCGCGCGGGCAGAACCGTGCTAGGCTCGGGTTTGAAAGGCTAGCGAGCTAAGGACTGTTTTTTCATTTGTAAATGGTTGGGGGGGGGGAATCAAAAGAGTAACATTTTATGACGTCAAAATAATACGAAGTTTAAATTTTAGTGTCGATAAATAAAATTTTATTGGAATACAGCTACGTCCCTTTATTTACCTATTGTCTATGGCCACTGCTATGGCAGAGGTGAATGTTTGCCACAGAGCGTATAGCCCACAGAGCCCCAAAAATTTACTATCTGGCTTTTTTACAGGAGAAGTGGGCCTTAGGGCCTTGAGACCAGCCTGGCTGTGCCTTCTTCACAGGGGAATGGCTTTTGAATTCATTTTTATGCCCTGTAGGGCCTAACACTATCTGTTCGTTTGTTCATTGAACAGCTCTTTATTAGGTGCTTGCTATATGCCAGGCCATGGGGATTGAGAGTAAATGACATACCCTTTTCTCATTGATGAGGCAGACATGTCAACTGGCAATTTCTCTCTTTTTAAAAATTTTTTATATCTTTATTGATTTCAGAGGGAGGAAGGCAGGGGGAGAGAGAGAAACATCGATGATGAGAGAGTCATTGATCGGCTGCCTCCTGCACGCCCCTGACTGGGGATCAAGCCCGCAGCCCGGGCATGTGCCCCGACCGGGAATTGAACCACGATCTCCTGGATCCTAGGCAGATGCTCAACCGCCGAGCCACGCCTGGCCAGGCTCAACTGGCAATTTATCAAGGGGAGTATGAGAAATGATGACAATTCTCCTCCCCCTCCTCCTCCTCCTATATCATTTGCTGCCAGGCTCTGTTCTAAAGGTCTTGCGAGTCAGTTCGCATGTAATTATGGTGCTGCATACTGAGTGCTCACTACTCACCAAGCACCATTCACCAGTGCTCACTACTCACATGTATTATCTCAGGCAACACTGCTCCTATGAGATGGATGTGCTAGCATTCTCGTTCTACAGATGGGACAAGGCCAGAGAGGTTGAGTAACGGGCCCAAGGTCACACAGTGAGGGGTGGAGGATTTGACTTCTATCTGATGATGCTAAACCTTGTTCCCTTAACTTCTGAGGGTTGTATGCATTAAATACCAGGACTGTGGGCACCTAGAGGAATCTTTAACATGGGTGGGGTGTTTGGGAGTGGGCAGGAGTGAGGGTCAGTGAGATCCCTCTGAGGGGTGACCCCTGAGCTGGATGAGGAGGAGCAAGGTAGAGGAAGGGGGCACAAGGAAGAGGCACACTCATAGATCCTAAGTAACAAGATGGAGCTTTATCAGCCCCAGTAATATAATATTGCTTGCAACAGTTGAAATTTGAGTCCTTACCTTGTACCTCAACAATCAGTGACTAAAAAGCCACAAAATGCTCCCTGTGAGTGATATTTTGGGGAGGGGAAGTGTAAGAACCCTTAGTTTCCGAGGGATGTGTAGAGACACTTTTCTTACACAAATGGCAGGTGATGGCACTGAAATATCAGCCTGAGATATGAAGACTATTCTATAATGATGCCAAATGCAGGCCAGTTCCTGTGGGGCCAAGGGAACTGACTTAGGGAGAGGAGGGCAATTAGCCC